GTATCTCTGGTGTTAGATACTGCAGTTATTCAGCACATATTTGTTTCAGCAAGCACATGAAGATGTTTATCTCCTTCTGTTACAAGGGGTGTGTGTGTGTGTGTGTGGCGCAGAGTTGTGGGATGCCAGCTGAATCGATCGGTACAATCATTTTCATTTGGAACCATCTCACACTGCCAATATGCACTGGGCTCCAGTGTTTTGTTAGAGCTACTGCAAGAAACACTTCCTAGGATCAGTGTCTGAACTAGGAATGTTTCAGAAAAGGGAATTTTATCCCTGTAGGGTGGGAGAATGTGGTCTGAGGGAAATTCCATCCAGGAAAAAATTTAGGAAATGAATGTCACTTGGTATAGTCTAGTGCATCGGCCCTCAAACTGTGGGTTGGGACCCCAAAGTGGGTTGTGACCCCATTTTAATGGGGTTGCCAGGGTTGGCCTAGACTTGCTGGGACCTGGGGCCCCAGCCTGAGCCCCACCATCCGGGGCCAAAGCTGAAGCCTGAGGGCTTCAGCCCTGGGCGCCAGGCTCAGGTTACACGACCCCTGCCTGAGACTAAACCCCTTGGGCTTTGGATTTGGTCCCTGCTGTCTGGGGCACTGGGGCTTGGGCTTTGCCCCCCCCCACACACACACTTGGGGGGCAGGGCTCAGGCTTCGGTCCCCCCTCCTGGGGTCATGTAGTAATTTTTGTCAGAAGGGGGTCATGTTGCAATGAAGTTTGAGAACCCCTGGTCTAGTGTATTCCAAAGGCAAAAATCACGCTCTCCAGAAGCACTGTTATAAAGTCGTCCTTGTTGGGGATGGCGATGGTTTGCCACTAGCTATGGAGGGGAATGAACTCTGTTAGAGGCAAGTAAGCCCACTTCTCCACCCTACTATCCTCTCTCAGCTTGAATACGGCCTAGGAAAGTAGAGCAGACAACGGTTTACTCCGGCTCCATCTCTATATTTGTGCCAAGCGAGTGCGTGTTTTCAGGAGGTTGCTTCAGCAACAAAAGCCAGTTTAATGCCATTCAATGAAATGAAACCACCACCCTGCATTGTGTGGGTCCTGCATGTCCTGGGCTTGTGAGCTTGGTGGTGAGTATTGTGTGCGTGCAAAGTACAAAGGCCAAATGCTGGGCTTACAATGGGATTGCATGGGCTGTACGTCCGCACAGGAGCTGGCGCAGTGGGTTTGTGTGGCTTGAACTCCAAAAGAAAAATAAATCCCCTTAGTGAAGAGAGGCCTGGGCAGTCCCTGTCCGGGTGGAGGTGACATTCGTGCACCACCAGCAGCTTCCTGGATAATTAATAACCTGTGCGATTGCCACAGCCGTGGTGCCTGGCAGACAGTAACTAGGAAACCACAGCCGGTCAGGTAGCTAAGGGTATGTCTGGGAGTGAGCCGCCTAGCCCAACGCCACAGGTTCGTGTGAGTCGGGCTTGTGCTAGGTGCTAATAGCTGGGGTAGCTTGGGCTGGAGCGTGTGCTCTCGGCCCTAGGTAGGGTGACCAGATGTCCCGATTTTTATAGGGACAGTCCCGATTTTTGGGTCTTTTTCTTATATAGGCTCCTATTACCCCCTCACCCCCTCCCGATTTGTCACGTTTGCTGTCTGGTCGCCCTAGCCCTAGGGGAGGGAGTGAGCTTGGGCCTGAGTGATGTCTAGACAGCATTTCAGTGCTAGCCCAAGCCCCACTCACGTCTCTGGGCCCGGGCTGGGGGCTCTCTCCCACGTGCAGTGTAGACCTGCCCGAAATTCTTACAGATGGGGAAACTGAGCACCTTGGGTAACTCAACCCCGAGGGAGACACCAGCAGAGCCAGAGCTGGAACTCAAGAAGTCCTGAATCTCAGGCCCCTGCTCAAACCACGGACCAGCCCTTTATATGCTACAAAGACAATTCAGTTTTCGAGGGAAGTGGTGCATGAGGCTGACGGAGACCACATTAGAGTGTGTTTCAAGGCGTGGGGTGGGGGCAGGAAGACTGGAAGGGGAGGCTTGGGGATAAGAGTACAGCCACGTGGGGGCTGTCCCCGTCGAGCAGTAAGTGAAAGGTCCTGGATCTAGAAGGCTGCGTGGGTGACACCAGTCCTAAAGGCTATTTAACTACAGTACAAAAATGAAGATGTAGAGTATATACACAAGGAAACAGTGTCCAAGAGCTGGTGTGTGGGATTATTGGAATGGATGGAAATAGAGAAAGGCACAATGGCACTGCAGTAGCAGGCTGAGTGGGTAGATGCTTAATAATCGACTGTCCTAGCTTATGTTTGTATAAAAACTAGTCAGGATTACACAACCAGCCTCAGTCAGCTCAACAAACCTCTTAAGTGTGGTAGCTATAATCCTTCTTGCTTTGTTCCTTCCCTACTGTTAAAACCACAGCACATATTCACCGCGGGGGGTGCAAGAATCGTTTCTATGACCAGTGTAGATAGGGATGGCTTTTGAGCCAAGAACTGTGTGAAACTTTGGGGATCCAGCATTTTTCCATTGAAAGCACTTGGAAAAGCATCTTGAGCAAATTTCCTCTGTGAGAGTTAAACCCCCTCTGGGCAGCTGGCACTGCACTGCATTTTTAAAATGTGCAAATTAGGACATCATATGGGGCAAATGCAAGGCTCACTTAGGATGTTTGATGCCTGAGCTGTCCCTAGGCCTACTTTTTTTTCAATCATCTGGAAACTTTTCTATGATAAGTTGTTAAATGTGGCTTAAGGAGCATTAAAATGAGATTCTAAAGACTTGTATTTTTCAATTGTACATGACCCCTTTTTTTAAACAAAGCTGTGATTGCAAATTAGTCATTTGCATTTTCACATGGCATATGCCATATTCCTCCATGAAGTCAAGTGGCCAAGCGGCCTGATTACATCTTGACCATCAAATTCTACATTTTCCCAGGCATGTTTCATCTGCACTCACGCCCAGGAGGGTGGATGAATTCCCAGGCAGGTTTCATCCCGTGCTTGTTGCTGTTGCCAACCATGGAGCCTGAAAGATGCAGCTGGTAGAAGGTGCCATTGTTTTGGTTACGTGCAAGGGTCTTGGCTCAGGAAAAACAATGGGGGTATTGTGGCCCCCACATCTGACCCCCTTCCCCCCTTTTTAATTATGGAAAGGTGGAGTTGGTCATCTCAGCAGAACCACTTCTTTCCCCTCCCCCTTTCCTCTGGATCCTGACAGGACTTCTCTGCTGGTCTCGGGGTGTGCAGGAAGTAGGCAGGGGTTGGGCAGGTTGTGGGGCAAAAGGGGACAGGAATACACATGGCTCCCTTGCCCCCAGGAGCTTGTATGGAAAAGGCAATACTGCCTCGCAGCAGGGGCCTTTTAAGGAGGGTCCCTTGAGCAGCTGAAGCCAGGGGAGAACTTGGTAGTGCAGTTCCAACAGGGCCACGTTTCCACCACTGAGACCAGAGCATGGCCTCTGGCACATCCCTGGGCCTGGCTGGCTTGGAGGTGGGTCACGTGGCCTATTCCACGCAAAGGAGTAAACCCCACCCCAAGATGGACTGATCAGGCAGAAACGTTGTGAGGGAAGCCTGGTCCACTTTCGGATGCCACCCACTAGACTGCAGGGGGCAGACCCTAGAATCTACCCAGAGCCCTGGGATATGCTCAAGCTTATCAGTGCAGGATCTGACCCTAGAATCTCCGCTTTCGTTGGGACACCCCAGCACCCCTGCTAAAGACAGGAGATGCTAACAGGGATCAGAAACGACTATGAATTGTTTCCATAGAATTCTATCAGAAGGCCTGGCAGGATGTGCTCACAGACTGAAAAAAGTAACAAGCGTATTTTGCATTACTCTAATTTATGAGTATTTGAATGTTTACTTGGTATAAAACTTGACAACTCATTACTGATTTCCTTGGGTGCCGATTAAGTTATGATCTGAGGTGTAAGGCCTGGACCCTATTACAAATATTGTTAAGGCCAAATGATTTGGTTATTATTCATATTTCTGTACTTCCTAGGCTCTAGCCCCATTGAGTGAGCACTGAACACATATACGAAACAGGTGGTCGCTGCCCTCAGAGTTTACAATCTAAGTATGAGACTGAGACATACCAGGGTACAATCCAGACCAGTGGGGGGAGTGGGGGCTGTTTCCCCTGCCCTGCAATGTTGGGTGCCTTACAATGCATTACTGAATTAGCTCCCACTTGGGCCGCTCACAACCAGCCTTCCAGCATGCACGTCACACCTTGAGTGCTGTGTGTAAGTGCAGCCTGCCAGCCACACCTGAGTTTTATTCTGGCTCTCACCACCCTTGGTTATACTGCAGCATGACCCCAACACACCCCAAGTCTTAGATTTCCCCCCCAGAAATGTATGTCCTGTACTGCCCAGTCCTCTCTTGGAAAATACAAGTTATATGAAATCTGTTATTCCTTTAATACAATATGCACAAAACTTGTCACTCCAAATGGAGTTTCCCAGACACTTCAATTTAAACACACCAGATTAGATAAAACAAGTTTATTAACTACGAAGAGATTTTACAACAGTACAAGTAATGAGGCATAAGTCAGAAATAAAGATAAGAAGCTTATTAACACATAACTTAAATGATATCACATTCAAACATTTCTCATCAGATGCTTTCAGCAGTCTGACTCACCAAACCCTGTAGGTGAGGACCCTTCTCCAATGCTTGCTTGCTTGGTCGCTTCAGATGCAGTGAATGCGATGGGCAGGGAGAGAGAGAGGGGGGTCTTGGGGTGTTTGTCTCTCTGTTTTATAGTTTCAGTCCCTCTCCTGAAAAACATTCCCAGCTGGACACCAGGAGACAAAGAATCTATATGGAAGAATGTTCCCTGCTGCTTTTTTCCTCTTACCTGTTTGAGCTTTTTTTGTTTCACCTTCTGTTTGATGACCCTGTTTACTGCTTAAATACAAATTAAGCAGAGTGCACATTTTTTTTGTTTAGGACAGACCTGTTTGCCAACCTTGGTTGGGCAGGGCTCTGGGATTTGGGACATGTGTTAATAACACCATGCAGTGAAATCTTATAACTTCACATACAATGTTGCTGCACATACTTTACCGAGACAATAATGATCAGCAAATTATGAGTTTTCAAATGATACCTTACAAGGCATACTCTGTACAAAGATTATTACAATAGTGTGTGAATACAGAAGTACATTCTGTCAGAGACAAGAGACAACAAGTAGATACAGACAGACGGGGGACCACAATAACAACGAAACATTATTTGTCAGCATAAACAGTGTTCACTAGCAGCCTGAGCATTGTCTTACGACATGTTAGTACATTCACCAGGTAAAAGACAATGTCATGTGTGGGAAAGCTGGAGTTGGTATTTAGTATATGAATTACCATAAGGGAGAGTAAGTACGTATCCAGGCAGAAGAATTTTTATTGTTCTGTAGGATGGACTGACCAACTTAATTCACAAGTAAGAGAAAGTTACATTTAAAGGAACTTGTAAAGGGTATGGTGACAGACAGCAACAAGGTTAGGACTGGTCTGTGTAGGGAAAGAGACAAAAAGAACTTCCTGCATGGAAAGCATATTTAGGAATAATACCAAATTTACGTAAAGAGACTTGAATCAATTCAGATTATTTACGGACCAGATCCAGATAGGAAGGTGTGTGAATCTACGATCATAATATCCAAGGGAAACCCATGAACTCTGCAAATAGCCATTGGATTTGGTGAAACAAGGCTGCTATAGTTACTTTTATGTCGCTCCCACGTATGTGTGGATTGAAATGTAAAGCAAGGTCTCTAGGAAATTATGGCTGTTCACACCCAGTATAACATTTTCAAAAATAATGACAATAATGAATTTTGTGTTATATGGTTCATTTCCTCATGTTGATGAGTCCCATGCTGAACAACTGAAATATGGACTGAATCATACTGCTGAGCTACATGGTTAGTTTTCCTCTTACTGTTGCCACCGGCTTTCTTCCTTGTTCGTGCCATACTGAGCTGATCCAATACCTTATACTTTAAAAAGTCACGGGATAATAGGGAAGGTCCTCTCAGGGATCAGTAACTGGTTAAAAGATAGGAAACAAACCACAGAAATAAATGGTCAGTTCTCAGAATGGAGAGAGGTAAATAGTGGTGGTTCCCCCAGGGATCTGGATGGGGACCAGTGCTGTTCAACATATTCTTAAATGATCTGGAAAAAGGGGTAAACAGTGAGATGTCAAAATTTGCAGATGATACAAAATTACTCAGGATAGTTAAGTGCAAAGGAGACTGCAAGGAGTTACAAAGGAATCTCACAAATCTGGGTGACTGGGCAACAAAATGGCAGATGAAATTCAATGTTAATGAATGCAAAGTAATGCACATTGGAAAACATAATCCCAACTATACATACAAAATGATGGAATCTAAATTCGCTGTTACCACTCAAGAAAAAGATCTTGGAGTCATTGTAGGTAGTTCTCTGAAAACATCCACTCAATGTGCAGTGACAGACAAAAAGCTAACAGAATGTTAGGAACTATTAGGAAAGGGATAGCCAAACCGTAAATATCAAAATGCCACCATATAAATCCATGGTACACCCACACCTTGAACACTGCATGCAGTTCTGGTCACCCCATCTCCAGAAAGAGATATTAGAATGGGAAAAGGTACAGCGAAGGGCAACAAAAATGGTTAAAGATATGGAACAGCTTCCATATGAGGAGAGAAAAGAGTTGACTAACAGGGGGATATGATAGAGGTCTATAAAATCATGAATGGTGTGGAGAAAATGAATAAGGAAATGTTGTTTACCCTTTGCAGAACACAAGAACTAGGATCACCCAATGAAATTAATAGCCATCAGGTTTAAAATAAACAAAAGGAAGTAGTTCTTCACACAACCCATAACCTGCAGAACTTGCTGCCATGGGATGTTGTGAGGCCAAAAGTATAACTGGGTTCAAAAGAGAATTAGATAAGTTCATGGAGGATAGGTCCATCAACGGCTATTAGACAATTTGGTACGGGATGCCTCATGCTCTGGATGTCCCTAGCCTGTTTGCCAGAAGCTGGGAATAGGCGACAGGAGATGGATCACTCAATAATTGCCCTGTTCTGTTCATTCCCTCTGAAGCACCTGGCATTGCGCTGGTGGAAGGCAGGATACTGGGCTAGATGGACCATTGGTCTGACCCAGTATGGCCATTGTTATGTTCTTATGTAAAAGAATTCAACAAGACAATTTAATTTCAACTCATTATAATTAAGTTTTCTAACATGCCCCTTTCTTAGAAAATTACTAATACATTGCATGAGAGCATCTCATCTCTTCTGAAGAGCTGGAAAGAGGCCAAACAGCAACTTAAAGAGAAGGGTGGAGGGAACATGTCATTCGCAGTTGACTGCAAGTTAAATTTTGAATGAATAAAAGTATGCATGGTAATGGAGTTTGTGAAGCAATAAATGAATTCAAATTTGACAGAGGATAGAGAAATAATAGTATAAAGTATAAAGGAAATCTTCTGATGTGGGTAAGATACGTATTAGAACTTGCTATGGATAGAAAAATATGAAGCTTTTATTTGTATTTTATTAGCTTTTTATTTGTAAAAGACTAAAAGAATTTCAATGAAGAACGATGTCTAAAAGTAATTCTCTTCACTACTATCTTCACCAACAGGAAATGGTTGGAGAGAACTTATTTTTAACACCAATGATAACTTTATAAATACAGTTTTTTTTAAGGACCACTCAATCCCTGCTGAGACTGTTATGATCATCAAGCCCATTACTTCTTTTCAAGCTATCGTCTATCTTTTAGAAAGAGATGCAGTCTTGATTTAAAGACTTCAAGTGATGGAGAATCCACTACAATCTTGGGTAAGTTGTACCAATGGTTAATAGCCTTCAGTTGAAAACTTGTACCTTATATCCAGTCTGAATTTATCTAGCTTCAGCTCCCAGCCATTTGATCTTATGCTTTTTTCTGCTAGATTAAAGAGTCTTCTACTACAGTAGATGCTAGTTTGCAGCAATACGTTGTAAGAGCAACTGCCACTTACAAGCGATGTTTCCCCGGGAACAGTTTCCATACTGTGAATTGTCGATGCTCCCCATAACAGCCACTTAGGAACAATATAACAAAAGGGCATGGATATGTTGCTACTAATGTGCACCTACCATATTAGAAATCTCCTCAGTGTAGGTATTGGTAGATCATGATCAAGTCCCCTCTTAACTGTCTTAACCAGTTTTTGTGTCATCTCATCTCCAAATTTTACCAGAAATGACTTCATACTTTCTTCCAGATCATTGATAAAGATACTGAATAGCATTGGGTGAAGAACAAATCCTTGTGAGACCCCACCCCCATTGGAGGCCAACTTCCCATTTACAATTATTTTTTTAGATCCATCAGTTACCCAATTTTTCATCCATTTAATATGGGTTGCATTGATGAATCCCAAATAGAGACAGGGCCTAACTTACTAAGAACTTCAAAAAGGATCTGTGCCAAGGAGTACCTTGTGTACACTATAAGTATACCTGCATTTCTGTAACTAGTTTGTGACATTCTTATCTGAATCTGTTGCAACAAACACAACTGAGTATTATTCACAGTGCAGCTTTTTCCCCAAGACAGCTGTCAGGGGTCCACTCACCATGGTTATAAATCGACACCCATCAAGCTGTTTCTATCAGGCTAAACTGGTTACACAGGCCCAGGTCCTCTCTACACCGCAAAATAATTTGTGTCAAGCTGGTTACAGGAAGACAACTATGTATTGCCCTAGGTGCTAACAGAGGAGAAACACTTTTTTATTGAGTGTTAACTAACTTGGGGGTGGACACAAAGCCATATTTATAGTTAAGCCTATAATAACTGGTTGCAAAATTAAAGTCTTAACAGGGTAGTGCAGAGTCAATTATGGGAAGTACAGTGCATGCTTTGGTTAGAATATATACTTGTGTATTTAACAACTTCAAATATGTATGCTTCCATCTAGCTTTTCTTCCCTGTATTCATTTAGTCACTATTGACAACATTCTTGGTGCTGGGCAAGACCCATGATACAGACAGCCTCATGGTTAAGGATGAGTGTCTGTCATGGAAGTCACAGATTCCGTGACTTCTGCAGCGGCCAATGCTGGTTCAGGGGCCAGCAGGGAGGGGGCTCAGGGCTGGGTAGGGATGCGGGGTGGTGCTTATCTCGGGGGGAGGGGCTCCCCAACTCCCACTGGCATATCCCTGCAGCTCCTAGTGGAGGGGCCAGGGAGCTCTGCGTGCTGGATGCCCCTGCAGGTGCCACCCCCACAGCTCCAATTGGCTGCGGTTCCCGGCCAATGGGACTGCAGAGCCAACCCTTGTGGAAGAGCAGCATGCGGAGCCCCCCTGGCCGCCCCACCCGCAGGAGCTGCAGGGACATGCCGGTCCTAGCTGGGTAGGGAGCCTACCAGCCCCACCAACCCTCTCTCCCAGCACCAACAGGGGTGCCAGGCCACTGTACCCCAGCACCCGCGGTACCCTGGACTGCCCCCTCCAGAGCACCTGCAGCCCCCTGGCCCAAGTTTTAGTTAGTGGTATATAGTAAAAGTCATGGACAGGTCACAGGCTGTGAATTTTTGTTTACTGCCCGTGACCTGTCCATGACTTTTTTACTAAAAATACCCGTCACTAAAACATAGCCTTACTCATGGTGCAGACAATCTAATAAGCAGACAAGATGCATTAAGACATTTAAGAAGATAACAAGGAAACATGCTTTTACCGTTTCTATCAGGGACTCCCCTCTGTAGGTCACAGTGGAAGATGTGAGTCTTTAGGAGGGAAAGATCCAGAGATGCTGCGGGTAAAGCGGCTGAATGGGGACACTTTTTTGTCTGTATTTATATCTTAATAAAATAACACAAGAATGTACCAGGCATATCTTACAGTGTGTGGGTGCTGAATGCACGGACTCTAAACTTTCTGAATTATGATGAATGGAAGGCCTCGTGATCTGCATTGGGGACAGTAATTTCTCCTATGTTTAGCTGTGGGTCTTAGATTTCTCACATGATCTTGATGTTGGACACCGCCATTTCAGGGTTTCTATTGGACCAATTTTGCAGAGGGGTACCCCTGCTGAGCCACTACAAGTGGCTAACTCAGCCATTTTCAAATATTTTCACAAGGGTGGATCTCATCTTAGTAGGGAGATTTTCCATGGACAACCTTCTCTCCCTTTCACAATCACATGCTGTGTCAACTGCAACAGTTACTCATATGGAAGAACAAAATTAGGAAGGTATTTAGTGTACTTTTAGCTTCTATCAATGGAATTTAGCAGCTGGAAACAAGAAGGGAGTCAGCACCACCAGACCTGTCAGCTTTCGGCAGCCTACCAGTTACAGCCCTGAGGAGCAGAGTCTGGGAAATTGTTTTAACTCATCTCACCTACAACTACTGTGCCCTCTGTATCAGACAGAGGAAAGCAACAGTACTTATCCTTAAATGCTCTCTCTTCTTTATGCCTTGACACAGGATCAAACCCACAATGTAAAGGCCTGTCCTCGACCCACAGCAAACCCCTCTGACAAAGACTTAAGAAAGATGTCTTTCACTCAACAATTGCATAACTTGGCATGCCAATAACTACCAGTGAATTGGCTTAGGAGAGGGGTGGGCAAACTACGGCCCACGGGCCAGATCCGGCCCATCAGGGCTTTGGATCCGGCCCGTGGGATTGCCACCCCTGTAGCGCTGCGGGCCCCGCGCCGCTCCCGGAAGTGGCCAGCACCACGTCCCTGCAGCCCCCCGGGGGGAGGGGGTAGAGGGCTCCGGGTGCTGCCCTCACCAGCAGGCACCGCCCCCTGCAGCTCCCATTAGCAGGGAGCGGGGAACTGCGGCCAATGGGAGCTTCGGAGGAGGTACCTGCAGGCGAGGGCAATGCGGGGAGCCCTCTGTCCCTGTCTCTCCCCCACCCCCCCCCAGGGGCTGCAGGGTCATGGTGTCGGCCGCTTCCGGGAGCAGAGCAGGGTCAGGGCAGGCAGGGAGCCTGTCTTAGCCCCACTGTGCGCTGCTGCCACCCCGGAACCGCTGCAGGTAAGCAGCACCAGGCCGGAGCCTGCACCCCAACCCCCTGCCCTGAGCCCCCTCCTGCACCCCAACCCCCTGCCACACTCCTCCTGCATCCCAACCCCCTGCCCTGAGCCCCCTCATCCACTCCACACTCCAGCCCTCTCCCCAGCCCTACATTCATGGCCCTGCGTGCAATTTCCCCACCCAGATATGGCCCTTGGGCCAAAAAGTTTGCCCACCCCAGCTTAGGATGACCCCACTCTGGGAAATGGCAAGAATGCACAGAGTCCCCCAACCACTGCCCAAAATCCTCCTCCTCCCCTAATAACAGGTGTCCCTCACCCACCAGGAACAACCACCTCACCGCACCCGACAGCCACACTTCCTGAGCAACAACCCCTCACCCTCTCTTCAGCAACTTTCCTAAACACCACATCTCCCCCTGCACCCACAGCCCCTAATGCAACCGCCAAGACCTCCAGCGACCCCGCAAAACCCCGTAAAGCGCCACAGCGTCCTCATCTTCCCTGAACGCCCCCCCCGCCCCCCAACACTCCCAGACTCCCCCACCAATTACTCCCACACCCCTCTCCAATGCTGACCCCAGCCTCAGCACCACCTGACCAGCCCCCCCTGTGCCGCCCCAACGGCCCCTCCCCCATCCCAGCCCCCCCAACGGCCCCTCCCCACTCCCAGCCCCCCCCGTGCCGCCCCCAAGAACCCTTCCCC